GGCCAGTGCAGTCTTAATCATTGGAGGGGTGGGGGGGGGGGGGGGAAACAACCAACAAATTTTAGGATCATGTGACTGCAGTTTTGACCTTCAGAGATCAAATGTTTCAAACATTAGTGGTTTAAAATACAAGCTGGCTTTTCAGGAGTATAATGTATGCACTACTGTTCTATAATGAAATATTTCATTTTTCTATGAAGAGCGGTTTTATGTGTTGAGTGAACTGTTAGACTGTAGATCTTAAATTGGTTTGGAAACAATGTAGCCATGTAGAGTAGCAAAGTAGTATGTGAAAGTGATCTCAACTGTAAATAGTAAACCTGATTAAATAAATCTCTGTATATCCTCCCTACAAACATGTCTTGTTTTCTGTTTAAACAATTCCATTGTATTTGTTCAAATGGAGTCCTGGTGTGCTAGAAGCATAAGCTTTAGTATGAAAGCACTGGTTTTAAGTGGCTTCACTTAAATAGATATGTATTTAAGGTTTGGTGGAATCTTGATTGTATCATGTTTGTTCTTTTTACTTGAAACAATACTAAATAAGCACAGCACAACAAACTTGGTTGAACTTTATGGAAAGTTAACATCGTGTGAATACAAAGAATCTGTTGCCTCTCAACAGTGGGGGATGAATAGCCGTACTATAACTGCTGTATGCTAATTATGCATTAATGTGTCTTACGTTATTCAGATGGTTAGTCACTGTTCTGCTTTCCATGGCTTCAGTTGCCTTGTTCTTTTGCAGAAGCCAGGAATGTTCAGAATTTCTACTAGTTGCTTATGTGCTTTATCATGCAAAGTAGACATGCTCAGCCAAACTGACATCAGCATAATTTTCACAAACACCCAAGGAAACATCACTCGGGAAAAGATAATTCTAATATGTGTAGTCTCTTAAGGCCAATATATCTTGTGGAGGATTTAAGTTTCTTAGAGTTGTTACACTGCTGTAGAAATATACTTTTTGGAATTCTATATTAATTCCTAAAGGTGGGTTAGATTTTCATTCTTAGTATGGTATGTGGCCTAATAACCTGAAAGGCCTCCTGGGACTCTGGCGTTAAATTTCCTGGATGCGGTAGCAAGCCTGCTAACAGAATCTACTGTCAGAAGTGTTGATGAATTTAAGGATTATCTGCATCATATTGTATTGCATATTGTAGATATGCTTGATAAGATCCCGGACTAATAAGATTGAGACGACCCTGACTTGTAAGAATCAGACCAGGGGAGGTTTTAAAACAGACTTCTGTGTTGCACAAAAGAAAGCTAAGGATGCTTCAAAAAAGTAGTCAGCTCTTACTAGCTACAACGCAGAAAGAAGCTTCCCAGTCAAGAGCCCTAACATAGCTCTCTGAAGTGAGGATAGTTACGGAAAAATGATAGTGCATGTACTTGTTAATCTTGCTGGAAGACATGGGTTTGTAACAGAGATGACTTGGCAGTATAGCAGCAAGTACTTGCTTGTAGATCAGGCTAAGTATCTGCTTGCTTTAGAAAATGCAGAGAATTCATGCAGGAATGTGGAAGCTTTTTCTGAATCAGTTCGATAAATATTTTACAGCTTTTTTTTGGCATAAAACAATCTAAACAAAGCCCAACCAAACTTTTAAGTGTTGTGAATTAGTTGTTTCTAGGAACCAGTGGCCTTCTTGCATTGCATGATTTGTCAGTAGGTCTTGGATGTGTTGATAGAGTTATGGTGTTGTGTGTTTAAAAAAAAAAAAAAAAAAAAAAAAACACAATCAAACACACACAAACTTGCAAGGGTCTAGTACAATGCATTTTGTATGACTCACTGAAGTTGAGAGCAAGTGGTATCTCCTTAGTAGTCAGACATGAATGTATGAGCTGACTGGTTTTACTTGTTACAGTCTTTGAATGATGCTGTATCGTAAATGTGCTTAGGGTTGCTGTGTGCTAATTAGTGTAAACAGTGGGATTCATACTCAGATAAGGAGGAATATGCAAGTTCTAATGTAGGGGTTGAGATAATATTGATTTCTGCCACCATACATTGTCATCACTTCCAGTTATGTAGACTTCCTGAATTCTGAAGGTGATTAGAAGCCAGACAGCTTAGATATTTGTTACTGGTTCAGTGTAGTTTAGATTGGTTAATGTTGAATACTACCATAGTACTAAAAGCCTTGGATTGGCTATAAATCCATTTTGCTTAAAATTCCAGAACTGCAAACTGATCTGTGAGGCTTCTGAAATTCAGTCTTTGGTCCCAGTAAAACTCGAGAAGAATTTTTTAATACTGAGTCCTGTAGAAAAGGAGACAGTTTGATATTAAGGCAGTTGACAAATGTGAGGCTTATCTACCTGAAGTTCATGTATCTGTGTCCTATTAAAAAGCTTTAAACAATGAAAGCAAAACAGGTTGTCTGCTTGTCAAAGGGATGCTGTTGCTGTGCATTATAGATTGTAAAAATGCAGGTGTAGTTTGTTGCATCTATTCATGGAATTGCTGTTCTGTGTAGCTATTGAAATAGAAGTTGTTGCTTATTTAGCATTTAACTTTGCCTGTAATAGAACAGCACTATATTTGGGTGAATATAAGAGAGAACTTACTCCATTGTAAATATATTAAAACACTAGTATTAAATGTGTCTTTATGCTGAGCTTCTTGCTGTCTGTGTGAGCAATACTTCTTGCTTTTAGCTAAAGACCCTTGATTTCTCCTAGAACTAAAGTATATGCATTTCCAAAAGTCTGTTTTGTGTCTGAGAAGAGCTTCTACTCATCTTCTGGCTGAATTCTCACATATGCTGGATCCAGGCTGCCTGCTACTGTAAATAAAACTCTGCTCTTAGCAAACTATTCATGTGCTAAGAAAAATGACAGTAGAAGACTGGATTTCTGTCCTGTGAGCGAGAGTGCTATTACAAACTGTTTCTCTTTCAGCGAGCTGGTGAAGCCATATGCCTTTCTGCTTCACTCATTGTCAAACAGTCTAAGCAAGGTTTGCATCCTAGCTTTTTTTCACTTGAGTCAGAAAGTTTAAACTGCAATGAGATTTTGGTTTTTTAAGTTGAGTGGGTTTTGCTGTTGAGCAAGGAACCGCATTAGTATTAAAGAACAGTGGAAAAGTCTGAACAGCATGGTCCTGTCTATCAAATAATACTCCGATAAGCAGGTTTTTGGCTTTTAAATTGCCTGTATTGAGATTCCTTCCTCTTAAATGAAGTTATACCATAATGAAACTTGAACTTCTGTAAACATTCAAAGCATTATTTTCCAGTGTGGACTTGACTGTCATAATGAAGAACACAAAAAATAAACCAAGAAAAAACTAAAAACTTAGGTGTGAGCAAGACGGAATTTTTCTTTCCTCTAGCACATTTTTGGTTGCTAGGTTTTTTTCCTAACTGTTACTGTTGAAGCCTATTTAGCATAGGACTTTAATTTGCACAGTAGTATGAAGTTACCTCTACTAGCAGTTCAAGATGAGCTCAAAGTATCTAAAGCAATTGAGCAATGGCAGCATGCGGTGTAGTAGGGGCTACTTAATATTAGTGAGAAAAATACCATAAATCAGCCTGTGCTTAGTGCTAGGAGTACCACAGGTCCGTTGCTTCCAGTACGAACTAGTTTGGTTTGCTCAATAGTGCTGTAGCTTGCAGTGTAGACTCTAAGCCATGTGTTAATTTGACTTGCTCAGTATCTCTGGTCTGTGCTATGGTCCTGTATCTTTTTCACTGCCCCTTCTCCTGTGTTTTCCAGCTAGTTTGCACTCTTGAAACTTGTACTAACTATTTTTAAGGTCAGCATTCTAGCAAAGGGAATATTAAGTTTCTTCCCTTCCTCTGTGGAAGTCTTTCATGTATTTGAAGAATATATTTTCTGTGGCTGTTGAAAGAAAAAAATCATGGGCTAAAATTGCAGCAAGTGAAATAAGGTCGATACATCAGGAAATACTTTTTTTTTTTCTCCTTACCGAAAGAAAGAATAAGCTTTGGATTGCATTAGACAAGAATGTTGGTGTTGCTGTAATTTGGTCTTGCTAATATATGTTTATATCTGCCAGTGCTTTTCAGGGGACAGGGGGTGACTTAGTTTCATTCTAGCTCTTTTTTCCTTGAGTCCTGTGTCTGACATCTTCAGTTCCTGTATGGATTTCCTCTTAGCTATCTTGTAGCTGGGTATAAGGCAATCCTGCTGCTACTTCTGCAAGCAAAATGTCTCATTTCTTGGTTTTTAGAAGTAATGGCTCCCAAGAGGTTTCTTCTGTGTATTTAACTTTCTTGAATATACAATATGTAGGGAGTTCATATCCCCCTACTTAATCTGATGCAACTTGTCTTCTGTAGTGCAGAATCTACCAAAATTCATCTGTGTTACTTGTGTAAGATCTTACAGCATAGGAAATACAGAACCAATATATATATATTTTGGTACCCTGTTGATAGGCTTGATAGAAGGTCTGTAGGACTGATTACGATGTAGTACATTGATTACATTTTCATGTTTCACTACACAGTCAGATGCTGATAATGATGAAGTCTGACCCCTTCTTTTCAGCAGTTACTCCTTTTACTGTTACTTCAGCCAGTGAAGCTGTTAATACTAGCAACTCTGCATGATTTGGGGAGGGGGAAAGGTTTGTGTTTTTATTTAAGTGGGTGGCTGGATCTGTTCTGTGTGCTGCTTGACAGTGCTTGGATTTCTAGCTTCAAACAGCTAGCAGTATGTTTACTTCACCCTGGCTGCCCAGCTGAAGTGGCTGCTCATCCAAACCACCTGGGTCTGGTGCCTTCTGCTGAAGAGGCAATGAGGTCTCAGTGCAGACTGCACAGGAAATTATTCAAAGAATGATTGAACATGTGTATGCTATGTGGAGCACACAAGCATGTAGCTTGCCTGCAGTGGTGAGCCTGACCTCATCCAGAGCTTTTTAACACATGGAATTAGAATGGCCTTAAGGGTGGTTTTTAATTGAGCTTTGTTTCTTCT